TCCAGGGCAGGGGCAGCTCCCGCCACTGCATACAGCTTGTCCGGAGGTGACACAGTGGCCCCATCCTGCGCCTGCCCACCCCGGCTGGGTGAGCTGCAGGAGGGCATAGCTCCTGCTCCCAGAGCAGCCCCAACCTCGCCTGCCCCATGCAGATTGGGGGGCACGCACCCCAACACCCTCCCAGATGAGCAGCAAGAGCAACCAGATGAGCCACCAAACGATCAACTTGCCCCAGCTCCTCCCTCACTGCAGGGGACCTTGATCTGCCCTCCCACACCCCTTCCTTTCCCCATCCCCTTCCACCACAACAGACTTATGAGCTGGATGCAGCTGCATCCAGCATTGTAAAGGAACCAATCCCCCATTTATAATATGGTTTCTGTGGGAAAATTGTTTCCGAGTTGCAACGTTTCGACTTAAGACGCGGTTTTCAGGAACCAGTTGCATCTTAAGTCTGAGGACTGCCTGTACTATCTCGTTGGAAACTGAAATCCAGTTTTCAAGATGCATCATTACTGTATTTACACAGTTCTCTGCTTAGTAATTGTGACTGAACCAGCTGAAAGAGCTGCATAACTTTTGAAGATGATTACTTTTTTTAATATATCTGGGATTTTAACATCTGTGAATAGAGTGACATAGTGAATTTTTAAAATAGGTTCAACAATGGATGGATGGTCAAGATTGGAAGGGGACTTGATTATTTTAAGAAACCTCAAGTAAGTATGCCCTGCCCCGACTTCTGACTCGATTTGAACTATGAAGTGGCTTACTCTAAAACTATTATTTTTGTAGGCTCGGTTTAGCATCGGATACTGTGACTTTGATTTGAGGCCATGTCATGAAACCACAGTGGATATCTTTCATACTAAACATACAAAGAAAATATGACCAAATATTTCTCTTCCTATTACTGTGTTTAAAAGCTTAATACAGCTGTTCAAATCTATTTTACTTAACTGCATGTAGTGTATATATTTCTATGGAATAAATTTCTATTTTTTTTTACATTTTCAGTTACAAGTGGTTTCATTCATCTCTCTGAACTGATTCCTTTTGTAAGCCACACTAGCTAAAAACTTTAAAGAAAGTGTCACATCATTAATTTATAGCACTTGGGAGACAATTTTCTATGAAGAGAATAAACTCACAAATTTAATATTTTTGATACAGTACAGCCAATTCAATTATGCAGACGTTAACTAGATAAACACCTTAATATGAAATGATGCTTAAGACATTCTGGGTTTAAGAATTTAACTAAGCTGTGATAAAGCATTTAACTGTAAAACCGAAGCAGATTTTTTTTTAGAGTTCCCTGCCCTGTTTTAGAGGGAGGCAAAAGTCAATAAAATATTCGCGCAAAATTTTCTGTGAGGTTCTAACTGGCAATGGCGATACAATTTCCTTTAAACAAGCCTTTAAAGGGGCTATCTGATTCTGTGAATCTCTCTTTCAGTATTAACAAGACTATGTGTATCATATACCTGTAAAAAGGAAAATAACTAAAAGCAATATGCCATATTTGATCAGACTGCCTAAATGTGTAGTCCAATTTTGAGGCAGGTATCCTTCAAATTTAGGACAGGATTTAAACCTATTTGGTTTGCTTAACTGAGGTTCAGTCACTTTCTACCACATAGTGGTTTTCTTGCTGTTTGAGCTGACCATAAACAGGACTTAAAACCAATTCTGCAGTACATCTCAGCTGGTCTCAGTTTCGTGGCCTATTTATTGGTATGCAAAATTTCATGTTCAGAACTACACGGCAGACAACGCACAATACCGTCTATGCATTTCAAGTGATCAGAAATTACTCTGAAATAAATCTTGGGGCTTGCTCTCACAATACTACTTCATAAGATATAATAGTAGCTTTAGAAGTCTTTTTTTAAAAGAAAATTGTCATTCTGTCCAAGTCCAATATAGTTTTCCAAGTCACTTTCTCTGAAGTCTTGTAATACTGACCTGCTTAAAAATACTTTCTTCATGGTCTTGAGTCCCTAAATAGATGCTAGACCTTTAGTAATGGAAATCAGTGTAGTGTAGCAATTTTGTTTTAAGAACCGTTTAATGAGGGAGTAATCAGCTTTAAACTGAACTCCAAGAGTTCAATGGAACCATGAAGAAGTAATGATAAAATTACTTCAATAAAAGCTTAGTGCTAGAAGATAAACTTCCAAACTAGTGAAAATACTGCTTATTTTTCACATGCTTAATCACCCAGAATCAGCAGCAAAAATAGCTTGCATTTTCATTATGAAAATCACATGAGAGTTGTTGTCATGTTCTCACAAAACAGATTCCACCTCCTGTGCACCTCATAGTCTTGTGGACATGATCTTAGCAGAGCACTTGCTAATGCAGTCGTTTCACTCGGGCAAAACTTACTGCCAATTAGATTCTTTTCTAGTTCACCACACAGTGCGGGTGGCAGCCATTCTTCTGGCAAGTTAATGTTACAAACTTCAATTCTTCCATGCTTTACATCCATATCTACTTTAACTTCAAGGAAAGAATGTTTATATACCATGTTAAAGCAGGTGCTAATACTAAACTTTGGTGTCTTGCCATATATCCACTCCCAGGTTTGTAGTTCTTTTGTTTTATTATTAATTCCAGGGAACACAGTCTCATCAGCTGGATTTATGAGGGTGACATGGTGATCAATTTGATGATAGATGGCATATTCTGCAGCAATGGCATCCATAACTATCTGGCAAGTTAATGTGGGATCCTCTTCAAAGAGATTTTTCACTGAGGCAGGCACACTAGGAGTGGCATTACTTTTTATACCTTTGTAAGGGCTCTTCAGCACAGAAGATAAAAGAAATCTATCTGCACTGCAGAGTAAGGTGCAGTGGTGATAAGCAGTTCTTCCTAGCTTGGCAGCACTCCCTGAAATTTTAAAATTCCTATTCAGCAAGAGGTCACACCTATCAGTAGCATGTACGTCTAACTGTGGTCTCAGGCATTTGAGAGCCTTAACAACCAGTTTTAGATTTTCCATTCTCTCATATTTTTTCTTGGATGTGAAGAAAGTCAAATTGATGTTGCCTAGATCATGGTATACTGTTCCTCCCCCACTTCTTCTTCTGGCAAGTTTTATATTCTTCTGTCTCATCATCTTGAGGTTACACTCCTGCCAGGGATTCTGGTGTCTCCCAATCACCACAGTAGACAAATTCCTCCAGAGAAACAGAACCTGCATGTTCTCCAAGTTTATGTTATCATGAATCCAGTCTTCCACTGCCAGATTTTGGTAAATGTCATTAGAAACAGACTGTAGAATGATCGCTCCATCTGCTGTCGTTTTGAAGCCAGCTGCAGGAAACTTGTGGACATAAAATAACTGAAACCAGTTCTTGAGAGATGCCCGGATTACCATGTTTTTCATAAAAGCACTGAACAATTTGTGGAAGGGAAAGTGGTTCTCTTACAATGTGCTATAGGATCTGCATAATCCAATCTCCTCTGATACAAATGCATTCCCAGAGACAGTCATAGGGCATAAACACCATCTTTCTGGAGTAATCAGGCCTCAGCTGTAAAGTGTATTGAATTACAAGGAAGTTCTCCCAAAGCATACCTCCACTGGCCCATATCCAGGACTAGAGCTGGGGCTGCAGGTGTCTTGAGTTTCTATTCCACATAGCCTGAAAGGACGGGAGGGGAGAGAAAAGTATTACAGCTGTTTGCACCTGTTTCTTCTTGCCATGAGACATAAGAATTGCCAGTTATGGGGTCAGACCATGCGTCTGTCTTGCCTAGTCTCCTGTATCACACAGTAAGGAAGGCTTTTAGTTTTATTTGGTGGGCCCATGCTCCCCTAGTGGTGTAACAAATAGGCCTGTGTCACACAACAATGGAGAGTAAATATTGAAAGGGACAGTGAACTGTGCATGACCAGGGTCCTGCCTGTGCCTCCCTGCTTCCTGTCCCACTTGCAGCCTCTGGCGTTTAAGGTCTAGAAAGTAAAGTCAGAGGCTGTACCAACTTACTCCTGTGTCCACTAGCTCCTGCTGCCCCTTTCCCTCCAAGAATTTGCCAGATCCTTTTTTGACCACAAGCAGCCACCATGTGTGGTACTTAAATGCAGAACTTTAGCTATCTAGCTATATACATGTAGAGAGAGAGAGCTATCCATCTATTCTAAAACTACTATTTTTCTAGGGTCAGTTTTGCATTGGATAGTGTGACTGATTTGAGGTCATGCCATGAAACCACAGTGGATATCTTCCATACTAAACATATGACCAAATATTTCTCTTCCTATTACTATTTCTAAAAGCTTAATACAGCTGTTCCAACCTGTTTTTCTTAACTGCATGTACTGTACACACGTCTATGGAATAAACTTTTATTTTTTTACATTTTCAGTTACGAGTGGTTTAATTTATCTGTCTGAATTGATAACTTTTCTAAGTCACACTGGCTAAAAACCTTAAACAAAGTGTCACATCATTAATTTAACTAGATTCAGGACAGATTTAAACCCACTGTGGACAGTATCTATATCTAGATAATTTTAGATAGATAGATATAAACCAAGGTGCTGTTAAACCAGCTTAAAGGTAATGGTAAATCTGTCACTGCTATCTGCGACTTTCATTATTGTGCTTTACTTTGGCATCATGAAAGAATGACTTGTTTCTATCCTCCTGGCAGCCTGCCTGTGCCTCTTTTAGTCTGCTGCTGTGCTGGGAGGCCTAAGGTCATGGTGTCAGAGCCATGAAAGCTTTCTGAAGCACCTGGGCGAAGGACGTTGCCGAGGTGACCTTGGCGTTTTTCCTTTTCTCCACCCCCGCCCCAATTAAATGGAGCCAGTGCAGGGTCAGGCTCGTGCCCGGGAATTGCAGCGCCCCTAGCCCCACACACAACAGATGCAGGAGCAGTGGCTCCAGTGAAGCCGGCCGCGAGGGCGCCGGAAGTAAGCCAGGCCTCCCTCCGCGCCCCGCGGGTGCACTCACGCCGCGCCGGTCTCATCCGGGTGCACAAGGGGGCCCAGCTCCCGCGTGCGTTGCCCAAAGCCGCCCGGCCCCGCCCGGGCCCCGGCGCCTGAGTTCCGGCCTCCTGAGTGACTGGGAGGGAGGGGTGAGGAGGGGGAAGGGATAGCGGGTGACACCGAGCACTGGCGAGCCGTAGCTCCTCCGACAGGGCGCCGGGCTGGCGCGGGGCGTTGCCTGCAGCCCGCCCGGGGCCCCTCTGGTTGTTGCTGGGAGCCGGCTCCAAGCAGCCGGAAGGGGTCTGTCGAGGGGCCTGGGCGCTGCTAGCCGGGGCTGTGCTGCCCCGCCCTGCTGGTAGCTTTCCCCCCACATTGCAGCCTCCTTCATCGCGGGCTCCCCAGAGAAAGAGATGGGGGCAGGTAGTGCAGCGGTAGATAGGGCAGGGAGCAGAAAGCAGGGCAGTAGGTTGAGCAACCAGGGCCACAGGGCAGGGAGCAGAAAATAGAGCGGCAGATTAGGCAGGGAGAAGAGCAGGATGTAGAGCAGTGGATCGGGCAGTGGGGAACAGGGCAGGGGGCAAGAAGCAGAGCAGCTGTTTGGGTGAGGAGCCCAGGGGAGGGAGCAGAAAGCCAAGCAGAGCAAGGGACGGGGATTGGTATGGCACTCAGGGAAGGTGCCAGGTTCCTTTGTAGGACAGTTTGGCTCCCAGCTTTTGTAAAGCACTTGGAATCTGGTTAGCTCTCAACACAGTGATCTGTCTGTCTTTGGCCACCAGATGTCATCAGTGACTTGGTATAACCCTTTGGGCTGATGCTTGGACTGGCTTTTTGGGCAGGTTTTTTGGCTCGGGCATTTGGTTCCAATAACACAAAAGCCACCTAGGACCCTGAGCCAGAGTCACTGTGCATGTATGTTGGTGATGCTCTTTCTTTTTTGCAATTGCCTGGCAGAACTACAAGAGAAAGTATGTTTGCACAGGTGAAGACATGATGTTGATCTTTCATAACTTATCACTGCAGTAAGGCTAGGAGTTTGAGCTCAACCCCTGCTTGTTGGGGAACTAGACAGTGACCGGACAATCTATCTTTGAGATGAGTATCAGGTTGTACACATGACCCAAAGGTCCTTCCTTTTACAATGGTTCTGCCAGTTCAGCCATTTTATAACTCTCCCTCCCCATAACCAGTCTCCTCTTCGGCTGCTACAGATATAGTTCCTATGAAATCAAATAGGCCTGTATCAAAGCCAGACACTTTGATCCTGTCCTGTGAGTAGTTTTTCAAAGCCTGAGAGGAGAGTCTGGTCTGGTGCAGTGCTGACTGGCTAGGATTAGAATGGTACAGTGCCCCATTCCCTGCCCCGGGGAGCCTTATTGTGACAAGGACACAGCCTCTGAAGTTATGGCAAGCTGCGCAAAGAACAGAACTGCCTTGATGTTTTCTACTACTTCTCTTCAATGGAACCTGAAGGGAGTCACCTCATTTGCCTAGCTGGACCTTCTCAGTTTGATGGAAGACCCAGTGCTGCAGGGAAAGTTGTAGGTGATTCGGAAGCAGGCTATCTCTTCTGAAACTCAGCACCCATCTCACTGCACAGGGATGCGCAGGGAAAGTTGTCTGTTAAAAGTATTACCTCACCTCCCAGCTGAAAGCTGGGTTGCTTCTGGACATTAGAAACTTGACAGGACCTTTGTAAGAGCCCAGGCATGGGCCCAACCCAAATTTTAAACTGAGCTATTCTACCTGCCTTCCTAACTTTTCAGAGCACTTTCCATTAGATGCAAGATTCTCTCCCTCATTTCTCAGACTGTATGTTAGCCTGATGCGATTGTTAGCACTGCTGCATATAGCTACACTGCTTTCCTCCTCTTCATTAGAGCCAGAGGAGTAGAGGGTTAATCAAGGAACTGCTATATTTAGTTCAGCTGTTTGGTCTTATATGAAGCCAGAGCCAGTCAGGCAAACTGATGAGGTTAGCAATGAACTGATTTATTCCATTTAGAGCCAACTAGCTCTATGTCAAGGTGCAGCATTTTGTTTTGTTGCTGTTCTTAATTACAAGATCCAGCATGGACAGAACTCATGGATGACTGCAAAGATTTAATCCTGACACTAACAGATTAGCAATAGGGGCCTAATCCTTTTTTATAGCCAAAATGTCCATAATTCTGGAGGAACCAACCCTTAGGGAATTCCTCAGGCTCATGGGGCTTTTTAGGCAACATGATATGTCCAGCTGATAGTAGCAGTTGCCTCTATCCCTCCCCACTGCTATGGCAAGCAGAGCTCACTGGGAGAGAGAGAGTTGCATCCTTGTTTGCTAGATCATGTGAAACCGAGTGATTCTACTTTTCTCAAGCACCTGTTCTGGTGAATCTGGTTTCTGTGTAGAGCAGACTGCTCAATGTTCTACAACCTCCCAGTGATGTATGTAGCCTTTTTCCTTCCCCTCTCTAGGGAAGATTTACTTCCTGGCTCCACTTTGGAAGATAACTTTTAAAGTAGCCAAACATATCTATGGGGGTGCAGTGGTCAAGGTAGAACAGCTTTATGCAGAGTTAAAGTCCTTCTGCCTCCATCACTGCATGGCTGGTTGGTACATGGGAGAATCTGCTACCTCCAGCCCAACAACTCTGAAGGAGTGTGACGTAGCAACTGAGGGGAAATTATAGGTCTTCTGCTACAAGCTAAGCTAATGAAGGTGAACAAGCTCCCTTTTCTGCTCTGATGAGGGGAGGTTATGAGTCTTCAGCTACAAGCCACGCTAATGAAGGTGAAGCTCCTTTTTCTGTTGTTACCTGGATTTAATTTTTAAAGGGGCAAACCAAGATGGCATTTCTGGTTTGGGCCCCTGGTGGACATTACACCTAGGATTAATTAGTTAATTATGATGTCTTAAGTAGTAACCTAACCACACATTCATTTAATTAATTGTGTGATAAAACAATGAATAAGACACAATTATTACACAAAATATGCTGGTTCCCATTGCATTTTAAGTTAAAAATGTGGCCAGCATTGACCAGCTGAGAGCGCACCAGAGCCTTGAAGAGCCCCGATGTGCTTCCGCATCTGGAAGCACCAAGCAGATAACCAGTGCTCTCAGCTATGGAAGTGCACTGGAGCCCTTCAAGGCGCCGGTGCGCTTCCACAACTAGGAGCATAAGATCAGCCGACTGGCACAGAACTACGGGAGCACAAGGCATTTTGCTTGCTACTTGCCAGTGCAAGGGGAGTATGATTGTGATCCCAGGCTCCCCTGCACTAGCAGCAGGGATCTGATCCCCAGTCCCACAATCGTCCCTCCTGCTAATCATGTGTGGTATGGCAGGAGGTAGGATGGTTGGAATTGCAGATCAGATCCCATTGTGCCTTTAATTACGTCAGCAGTCTTGGAGTCTGGCCACCTGGTGGCTCCAGATCTTGGAAGTCACTGGGAGGGAGGTGTTTAGTGAGAAATAACAGCTTCATATACAGGCATCAGAGAGTAGAGGGCTTGCAATTGATTACTACTCATGTACACAGATTCCTACAGACATATATTCCCATCTCTCATTTCATGCACAACCACAAGGGACCATGCACTTTCATGCACAGGTTGCTCTGTAATTCCATCCCAGCTAACATGGAAAACATCAAATAAACTACAAGACAGAGCTTGAAGCAAGTTCTGTATTTTGACAGAGAAAATATACTGTAAAGCTTAAAAAGCCCATTTAAAAATAAAAATAAGGAAAACTTAAGTCTTTACATGAAGTTTATATGAATAATGCTCTACATTTTTTCACCCTTCAATGTGAGATTTTACCTTGATAGTTTAGGGTATCCTGTAAAACTACATACCTAGTTAGTCTCAGTTTCTTTACCTCAAATGAAGACTTCTGGGTGATTTCTTAGGTTTACCTCTAAAATCTTATTTCTTTCCTAATTGTACAGCTGTAAATGCTGCAGGCATAACAGCCATAACTGAGACAGCTTTGGAAGTGACACTGAAGGAAATACAGAAGAAATGTGGTCTGTGGAGTTTGCATGTTTACTATTTTAGGCTGCTCAAAAGACTTACAGTGTCACATTCGCTATGTCAAAAATGAAATATCCTTTGCAACCCACTGCAGGAAATACTGTTGAAGAAATTAATTTGAATAGCATTAGTGCTGATTGCAATGTCACATGACAATATCAAGCATTTGTATGTAACTTTTTCATCAGGCAGTTAGTGACAGTAAAAAGGTTGGGTTCAATATATTTAATGTTCCTCTTAACAAACAAATAAACATAAAAGAGCCTTCCCCCCTGTCCCGGACCTGGGGAAAGAAGGGGAATCTGATCCCCTTAGAGAAGCAGAACCCTCTGAGGGGAGAATGTCAGGCAGATCTTTGCTTTCTGTTCCCAGTGTCCCTCCTTAATCTCCTCCCCTTACCCAATTTTTTAATTCCCCTTTTCTTTAGCCCCCATCTTCTTACAGCCTTTTCAAACCCTCTCTTCCTAGTATTTCCCATTTCTCTTCTACCAAGCCTCCAGACCTACCCGCCACCCATTGACATTCCCCATCACTGCTTATTCTGCACCAAAATAGTTATATGAATCTAAACATTTTAGGAACACTTTGGTGATAAGAGGGACACAGTGACAATGTGTTATTCCACTGTTCAGGAAAGATAAGTATGTTATTTTTCATCATCCTTCAAGTCTAGTGGTTCTCTGACTTGCTGAACCAGTGAGCCAGTGTCAATCTTTAATATTTTTTGCAGACCACCATGTACCCTTGCCACCAAACTTTAACTGGAAAACATCATAGTTCAGGCTGGACATCGGGAGACATTACTTTACAGTTAGGGCTGCCAGGCTCTGGAATGGGCTCCCAAGTGAGGTGGTACTCTCTCCTACCTTGGGGATCTTCAAGAGGAGGCTGGACAGATATTTGGCTGGGGAGATATGATTCCGGCACCCGTTCCTGCCCGGGGCAGGGGGTTGGACCTGATGATCTCTTTAGGTCCCTTCCGACCCTAAGCACTATGATACTATGATCATAAAGCACCTGGAGCCTCATGCAATCTACTGATCACTTGCTATGGCCTCCTAGATGACCAGTGGTTCACAGTTGGGAACCTCTGTGTCTATGTTGATTGGTTAATCAGTAATGGTGTTTTGCTATAAAAATCTGCTA